ACACACACACACACACACACACACACACACACACACACACACACACACACACACACACACAGAGGCATTTGGGTACAAAACACCACGCATACCGTGGAACTGAACAGCGAAGGGTGATGTTAAGGTACGCCCCCCCCAGCACATCCCCTAGGCCCCCAAGCTGCATATACCCCCCAGGTTACCCCACGCCACAGCCTGGCACTGAACCATTGCCTGAGGCACCCCCCACTCTCCAAACCGCAGGGAATGTGGACAGAGCTGCTGTTGGGCCTGTGACCGAATCCACCGGGCATTGCAAGGTGTGGGTTGGCTGTTGCCTACCTGTAGGGGGTGCTGTCTGGGTTGGGATCTATTGCTCAGCAGAGGCAATCTGGGAAAAGCGATTAGCTGTGTTTCGATTATTTACAGTACACACGGTGTCCGTGACTGGAAGGGGAGCGCAGACAGCTGGGCCACGGCTTTGCCGAGGCTCTGGCATGTGTCTCCATTAACGCTGAGGACTGATTGTGGTAGGAAGGCTTGGTCTGGACATCTACCAGGCCTTCGCTGGGACTCCTGGCAGCCACAAACCTCCTCTCTCGCTCGCCCCTTTACTCCTCTCATTTGCGTTGTTCCTTGCTGTCTCTTTCACTGATCACGCTGCCATGCCTCTCCCCAGGGCTCTGCCTTTAGCTCTTTCTGTCCCTTTCCTGCACAGGTTTTAGCAATCCAAGGCTGGCCTGGGAGCTGTTCCACGGCCATCATCTCCTACAGCACCTCCAGGTGGGACAGAGGAACTGTGACCTCAGAGTTTACACACATCTAGTCTGGCCTCCTGCGTGACATGGGCTAGGGAATTTCACCCAGCGATTCCTCGATCAAGCTGAATAACTCCTGGTTGATCAGCAGCACGGGACCCTCGTGGCAGTAAGAATTTTCACCCAGTTGTCTACAGACCCTCCTGCTGATGGGAGAAGTCGGGTGAGCTCCTCTCTAGTAGGGTTTTTCACTCCGTGAGCTGCAACTCAGAGCTGGGTCACCAGAATGTGTCAAAGGGTCATGCGGAGAGCTGGGTGAGGGGAGGTCCTGAGGGAGTTTGCAGAGCCCACCTGAGCTCCCTGGGAGCTGCTGTAGTGCCCGTCCCATGGGGCTGGCTGGGCTCCTCATGCAGGGTGTTGCGACCTAGTGCATGGGTCACAGCCCTGCTCAGGTTTGGCCCAGCCGCTCCCCATCATCATAACAGGCAGCTGGGCCAAATTTGAGAGAGTGTGTGCCAGGTTTCATGGCTACTCATAGAAATTTGGCCCAGCAGGCTCCTGTCCGGGGGTTGGGGGCCTGGCCAATCATAGTGGTGCTTTGACCCAGGCGTTGCTGGGAGCCGAGCCAAGCCCCGCAGGCCAGGAGCTGCCAGTATGGTCCGCACAGTGTGCTTATTGTGCATGTTACATATCGTGGGTCAGAAACATCTAGCAAGCCAGCTGTTTTTTGCACTAACGCTATTCACTGGGTTGTAACAGGTCAGTGAGATTTACAAATGGCCCCTGAGCCCAGAAAGGTTGAGAATCACTGCTCTAAAGCATATGTGCGCCTGCAGTGCAGGGACCCAGGGCTATAGCAGCTGTGAGCTCTGCGCAGCATCTCCTGGTGCGAGACGGTGGGACTGGAGTAATAGTGACCTCCCACCACAGGCAGAGCTACTACAGTAACCCTTGCTGAGAGAAGCTAGTACTGCAGGGACTGCTCTCAATGTCCAGCCATGCCACACCGTTCCCGACAGCAAGATTGACTGGGAGGTGTGCACTCCCCAAGCCCAGTGCTACTACACCATTCCCTGCAGCGCCTCCTGCTGGGAGAGATTGGGACTGGAGTAGCTGTGAGCACCTCTCGGTTAATCCTATAGTCTCCAAAAAGCAAAGAAAAGTGGGAAGAAGGAGAGGAATTCTGCTTCAAGCAGACAGAAGGGGCAGAGGAATCTGGCTGAAAGGAAGAAGGAGCAAAGGAGGAAGGGGCAGGAGGAGGAGAGAGGCGTGCTGAGTGAGTGGGAAAGGGTGGAAGCAAGGCGAGGAGGCCAGAGGCAGGGGGAGGGGAGCCCTCAAGATGACACTTTGATGCTCTTTCTATGCACTATTGTGTAAACATATTGAAAGCCATAGAGGGCCTTTGTTTTGGGAAGAGCCCCAAATTAATTCTGATGTAGTAGGCTGCCCTTCAACAAGTTCTGGGCCTCTTGTTCTTCTCTAGGGGCCTTTTATAGTTTCCACTCCCAGAAAGAACAGGACTCAGCAGACACCCCCTGCCCCTCCTGTCCTCCAACCCTAGATCAAAGGTAACATCTCCCAGCAATCCAGGGCCGGAGGAGCCCCCAAGCCAGTGAGGCCCTCCCCTCCAGAGAGAGGCAACAGCCACGCTCAACCCGTCCCCACCCCCATCCCGCCAACCAAAGCCACTGTTGGAAGAATGTGGCGCTTCCCCCCCCACACCTTTGTGAGCCATGGCAGAGGCCAAGCCGCTCATGGCTGTCATATGACTCATGCGGCGCTTGGTGGCTAATTAACACATTCAGGAGCACTGCTGGAGTGGAAAGGCCAGGCACCCCGGGGCCTGTCTGGCCACACGGATTGGGGAGGTGACCCAAGAGGGCTTGGTATTCTGCCCCTCCCCCCCACGCCACTTGTCAGCCATCCTGGTAGTTCTTCAGTACAGCCAATGACCCCCCAAGCCCTGCATCCCCCCGCCCCGGGCAGCTTTTATTCACCTGACCTCAGGCACCTCGCCAGGGGCAAATGGAGTTTAACTAGTGGGGAAAAAATAGAGAGGGGGAGAGAATAGAAATTGCTTAGCCAGTCGCCTGCTGCGTTGTGATCTCCCCGTCCCTGCGCACGTCCCCTGCCCCCAAAGCGGGGTGTGTGCCTTGTTCAGGGGCTGAGCGCAGGTCAGCTAGGCCTCTCCCATTCCGCTGCCCCGCGCTCCTTTCATTCCCTCCTGGTTCTGCTCCACAGACCGTCCCATTGTCATCCCTCTGAATGGGAGATTTTGCTGCTGTCTGCCTGTCTTTTAATTAGGGCTTCCGCTCCCCGCGAGGCCGTCGCTGCTTTTTTCTCTCTCGCCCTCTCTTTTCAATTCTTTTCCACAATTTAACACTCTCTCTCTCCCCCTGGCTCCGGCAGGGACAGGGGAAGGGCTAAAGGAAGCCCCCCAAACAGAGGCCCACAGCATCCGGATCTCAGTCTGGGGAGGCTGCCAGCAGGACAAAGCGGAGAAGTTCAGATCCAGGATCTCAGTGTTGCCAAAGCTCCAGGGTGCTGAGAACTGAGTTGGGGTTAAAGATATTCAGCAAGCAAGCTATGAACTTCTCCAGAGCTCAGGGCTGCTCAGATCTGGGGTTTGGCCCATGCAGTGTCACCCACTTTTGTGCTTTTATCACACATCTCATGGTACTTGGTGCATTCCTTAAAGCGCCAGCTCCTGGAGTCATTTGGTTATGTGATTATTTCAACTTTCACTTAAAAGACAAAGAACATTTCTGGTCCTCCTGGTTACATGGAAAAGCTAGCAAATGCGATGCCTTCAAGGCTCGAAATCTAGAAGACCAATAATAAGAATCCAATATTTATTATTATTTTTATTTAATCTCATGATTTTGGGGGCCTGACTCATGATTTCTGAGTGCTTAGGATTGGTTCCAGCTGGGAAATTCAGAGATGAATCTATAAATGGCTCCAGAAGTCAGGGATGTTTGGATTCAGGGCTTTTGTTTGTGTCTCCTCTCATATACACACACTTCAGTACCCCTTTCCTGCTGCAGAGGCATGTTCTAGAGCACTAAAGGGACCCTATATGATAGTTCCCTTTACCTCCTCATTCTCTCCACCTGCGGTCCTGCCCTTTCCATGTCTAGTATCTAGCCCCACATTTCTTTGCATTCATTGTTGTGGGAGTTGCGATGATACAGTTCCAGCTGGCCTGGTAGTCTCTCTCTGACAGTGGTGAATGCTGCATACTTAATTTTAGAGGAAGGTGTATCCCTAATGCAGCTAACTCTCTGATATTTTACTATGGGGGAGATGTCTTCCTGACCCCAGCTACTGATCAGCTTGCAGTGTGCCCTGAAGCATGAGGATTGTTAGTCTTTCTAAGATCAGTACCAAGGTGAGGTGTGCCTTAGACATTCCTGAAAAAGATAAGATAATTGTTGGGCCAAATTCAGCTTGACATAAGGGTAAATTTCAGTGGGACTGCTCTTCAATGCTCTTCTACCAGAAATTAACTTTTGCTGTGCTAATTCCAATCCTCGTTTGAATTTCACCAAATTTATTAGCCTTGATAGGGCAAAGAGAGCAGCCATTCCTGATATGGGGAAGCAGTTTTTGAGCGCAGACAGCTCTTTAATACAGCAGGGGAAAAAAATCCAATGGTTGGAAGCTGAAGCTAGACAAATTCAGCCCAGAAATAAAAGACTTATTTTTAGCAGTGCATGAACTTAACCACTGGAGAAACGTACTGAGGGATGTGGTGAATTCTCCATCACTTGAGGACTTTAAGACTATATGTCTTTCTAAAAGATATGTTCTAGTCTAGTCTAGGCTTCTTGAATTGTGGGCATCAGAATTGGACACGGTATTCCAGCAGCAGTTGCACCAGTGCGAAACATAGAAGTAAAACAAACCTCTCTACTCCTACTAGAGATTCCCCTCTTCATGTAGCCCAGGATCACATTAGCTCTTTTGGCCACAGCGTCGCACTGGGAGCTCATGTTCAGCTGATTCTCCAATCTCCACCATGACCCCAACTCCTTTTCCGTCATTACTAACCTGTAAATATGGCCTAAATTCTTTGTTCCTGGCTGTGTGCATTTACATTTAACTGTATTAAAATACACATTGTTTGCTTGGACTCTGCTTACCAAGCAATCCAGATCCCTCTGAATCAGTGACCCATCCTCTTCATTATTTACCACTCCCCCAATTTTTGGGTCATCTGCAAACTTTATCAGAGATGATTTTATGGTTTCTTGATGCAAAGGTGAGTGGATGAGGACCTCTGGCCTGCATTATGAGGGAGGTCAGACTAGATGATCATAATTGTCCCTTTTGGCCTTAAAATCTATGAATCAGTAATCCCGCAGCGTGTGAGTTCCTCAGCTTAATTATCTGTTGCCTATTTGTTTCCCTTTAATTAAGGCTCTTCCTAACCTTTGGCACGGCCTCTCTCTGGGCACTCAGGACACTGAATTTACTCTTCTCTTTGGGCTTTTCAAATGTTATTGGCGCACTCACCCCAGCCCGTGGCCTTTGCTTACATTTTTCAGTACCTTGGGGACTGCTGGGTACTTTAGTGGGGCATTTCATTTCCTGGGGCACTGGCACAAGCAGGGCTTGTCTACACTATGGTTTATGTTGGTATAATGTACGTCGCTTAGGGGTGTGAATAAGTCTCTCCCCCCCCAAGTGACGTAAGTTACACCGACCTCAGCACTGGTGTGGATAGCACTATGCTGGCAGGAGAGCATCTCCTGCTGACACACTCACAGAGATGGTTTTATTATGCTGACAGGAGAGCTCTCTCCCATTGGCATAGAGTGGCTTCACCAGAGGCGAGTACTTCTAATGTAGACTAGCCCTTAATCTTTCTTCTTAGAGAAAAACATTATCCTTATCACCGTTTTCTTTCTGAACTGACCATAGTCATCTCAGCGTGGGGGGGGGGGGGGAGGCTCTCGTTCCTCGTTCTTTTGGGCCAACCTTGGAAAACATATTGCATCTCATTTTCAAAAGGGATTTAGGAATCAAAATCCCATTGACAGCTGATGGTATTTCGTCTCCTAAGAGCCTTGTGTAGAGGAGAGTTAGGCTTGGCTTTGCAATGCTGAGCTCGGCAGTGTTAAATAACTTTTAAGAATCTGGTCCAAGGTCACATATCGGTTCCCCGAGTGGCAGGCTAATGTCCTAGACACTGGACCATGCTACTACACCTATATTAAG